GTAGGGAAACCACCTATTTATAGGCAAAACAAGTTTGTTTTTTTTATTTGCTTGGTGACATGACCAAAAGATTGATGTCTTCTCTCAAGTGTAGGAGTATTGAAGTAATAAATAATCCAGCAAAACCGGGTCGAACCACAAGGAGGTTAATTATATAAATTATAAACAACAATTATAAATAACAAAAATAGTAACAACAACAACAACAATAATAATAGTGGCAATAGTAGTAGTAGTAGTAGTAGTAGTAGTAGTAGTAGTAGTAGTAGTAGTAGTAATATTAATAATAATAATAGTAGTAGTAGTAGTAGTAGTAGTAATAATAATAATAATAAAGAGAAAGAGGAAGAAGAAGAAGTTGATGAGAACTTTGAGATGGAAGATTAACGTAAAAATTAAACAATGATAACAATAAATGTCAAGGTTAGAAGATCCACTAATGATATGTCAAACAAGTATAATATAAACTCTTATTATTCAATTGGAAACTATACACAAAGGAGGTTCCAATTAGATTATAAATTGTTAACATGATTACATTAGTTATCTTATTCAACTAATGCTAATACTTGGAAATATTGTTAGGCAATCACGATTATAACTTATATTAACAACAAATCAAGTTCCTTTCATAGCTCAGGTGTCAGTTTGTTGAGTAATGAAAAGTATGGCTATGAGAGTGCCAAGTATTTGTGTATCAAGTGTTATACAACATAAATCTAGATTAGTCATTTAACAAGTAAAATATTAAAGAGTGAACAAGATAACAAATACAAAACATGTTAGTATCAAATATTAAAGTCCATATTACGTTTACACTATACTTATTCTTACACAATTATTATAACCTTTTCACCTTGACATAATAAACTTAGCTAAACATTATGAAAGAAAGAAAAATAAATAAATATTATCAAAGTAAGCTTTCAAACGATGTCCATTTATCTTGAAAACATTGTCATTATTTGGATTCTCAATATCAAAAGCCCCATAAGGATACATATGTTTCTCAATAAAATGAAAGGCATAAACTTGATATTAATGAAAGCAAAGCATAAACATTACAAAAAATACAAAGAGAGAAAGCAAGGGCATGATCATGATCTGGAAACCAAGATGCCTAAATGCATGACAAATGCCTCCTTTTATAGGCCAAAATTGAGGTCATTTGTACTTCTAGAACTCCAGATATGGGCCAAAAACTAAATAGTGCTTGGGCTAGAGGATAGATTCGGACTTCTTTGTTGTTACTCTAATTTGAACTTGAAAATACAATTTTTATATCTTGGGCTCCATATGAAAGTTGTAGACCCTTCTCTTACCTTTCCATCCATTATAAATAGACCTAAATCTAAGATCTATAGCTTCAGATATGACCCAATTACCGAACAGTGTTCTGGTTTGGACTACATCGACATTTCTTTTCTAAGTTTGGTCATCTCTTTGTCCTTTCAATTTCAGTTCTTAAATTCATGAATCAATCCTTTCATTTATGTGATAGACCTGCATTTAAAATAAATATTTACCATAAATTAACGTTATCTTATATTATTAGATATGTTATTATAAAATATGCTTTAATTAAGGAGTTATTGATACTTCAAATGCAAAATAATGATATAAAACCTTGATAAAAAATGCACTTTTAAGTACCAATCACTTGGTCTCCAAGCAAACTTAGTGACCAAGTTAACCCAAAAATAATTTAGTCCCTCAATTCTTTCCTTTCACATTTGATCCCTTTGTTCAATTTAATTTTTTTTTTTTGTATTTTGACTTTTTTGAAAAAGAGCAATATCAATGTTGACTTAATAAGTGCATTAACCCAAAAATAATTTAGTCCCTCAATTCTTTCTTTTCACATTTGATCCCTTTGTTCAATTTAATTTTTTTTTGTATTTTGACTTTTTTGAAAAAGAGTAATATCAATGTTGACTTAATAAGTGCATTAACAACTGAATGTGTTGAACATAGATTTTTGTATTTTAAATTCTTTGGAAAAGACGTTGAAAATAACGCAAATAAATTAAAAACATGTTTTTTGAGGTTTTTTTTAAGTCTTTTAAAATGGATTAAAAATATTAGGTAGCAATAGATGCCTCCTCTTTACAATACTTATGGAACAAAGACTTGTTAAATGCTTGACTAACGAACTATTCTTCTCAAAGCTTTAAGTTCGTTTGACCTGAAACTTTGTTTTCACAGCAATCCCCATCAACAGAAACTACGATCAAACTGTGTACAGCTTGGTTATTTTGAAATCCCAATCTAGTGATTTTCTTAATCCAAAACCAAAATCATTGCCAAAAGTTCGGTCAACTTGAGATTCCAAGTTGGTGATCCCCTTTAATTAGAACTAAAATATGAAAAATAGCTCGATTAACCTAGAATCCCAATCTGGCAATTCACTTTAACTAGGACCTTTGTCTTCGTCATTGACTTGGTCAACCTAAAATCCCAATACGATGATTCTTTTTAATAAGAACCAAAATGTTGCCTTTTAGCTTAGTTAAACTGAAATCTAAATCTGACGACCCCTTTTAACCAAAACCTTGATCTTTATCTTTATCTCAATCAACTTGAGATCCCAATCTAGTGATTTCTTTTAACCAAAACCAAAATGTCACCTTCAGCTTGGTCAACCTGAAATCTTAATCTACATATCCCCTTTAAGCAGAACCTTGATTTTTGTCTTTAGCTCAGTCAAGTTGAGATCCTAATCTGGCTATTCCCTTTAAGTAGAACCAAAATGTCACCTTTAGTTTGGTTAACTTGAAATCTTAATCTAGAGATCTCCTTTAATCAGAACCTTGGTCTTTGTTTTTAGCTCAGCTAATGTGTAATCCCAATCTGATGATTCATTTTAACCAGAACCAACATGTTGCCTAAGCTTGGTTAACCTAAATTCTGAATATAAAGACCCCCTTTAACTAGTACCTTGGTCTTTGTCTTTAGCTTAATTAACCTAAGATCCCAATTCGGCAATCCTATATAACTAGAACCAAAATGTTTCTTTCAATTTGGTTAACCTGAAATCTTAATCTAGTGACTCCCTTTAATCAAGCGATGCCCTTTAACCAAAACCAAAATGACAGCCTAAAATCTCAATTTAGAGACCCCTCTTTAACTAGAACCTTAGTCTTTGTCTTTAGCTCGGTCAACTTGAGATCCCAATCCTACAATCCCATTTAACAAGAACCAAAATATTGCCTTCAACTTGGTTAACCTGAAATCTCAATCTTGAAACATGATCCCCTTCTTAATCTTACTTTGATTTGCCATAAAAATGTAAGAGAATGAATGATATGGTGGAGAACTAGACCGGTCTTTACCACCGGCTAGAACTAACCATAGGTTGCTTAGAAATCAACCTTCAACACCTAAAAACAAACAACCACATGACAACCCTACAATTATCAACAACAACACCTAGTTCTAGCTAAAACCCTAAGCAAGATAGCAATAACAACCCATAAAAAGATAAAGTTGCTAAATTATTTTAACATTTTATCTATATATATAGATCGAGATAATTGAAGCAACTTTCTAGATCTATCTCTATAGATTTTTATTTTCAATATATAGACTACTTCTCCCATATCCTTTCTAGGTTGCACTTTCTTTTTTGTTCAAGTTTTGTTGGTTGAAAAAAACTTTCTAAAATTATTATTATTATTATTATTATTAATTTTCATACACAATTATATTTACGATTATTATATGGTCAATTTGTCCATGTCAAAGAATAGAATCTGAGGCAACTTTTTCACCAAAATTCCATTCTCTATTATTCCTTCAATATTATATTGGGGTTTAATTCAAGCAACTCGTTTATTCGGATTTGAGATGTAAATAGATTTTTTGTTAGGATGAGGTGGGCAGGTTGCGTCACATTGATTTCGTCATGAAGTTAACTTGAGTAAGAAACAAAGATATCAAGTTTCGGAGAGAATCAAGATCAGTTAAAGCAAAAAAAAAAAAAAAAAACAGATTATGAAAATAAATTGGAAAGGAAAAGTTTAGTAATAAGGAATCAGATTCACAAAGAAATTTAAGTCTCATCGATTCCAGGAAACAAGTTGGAAGGAATCAATTTTACAATAATTGAACTTGGCACTAGAGAGAACCTTCGTGCCACTAAGTACTGAAGCGTTATTCAAATGTACTGAAGGCCATTTGTTTGCCATTTGTGCTAATTAAGAACATAATTCTATTCTTTTATAGTTTTTTGGAAGAAGAAAAAACTGGGGTGAGTTAATATTCTGTAAAATAAGCTTGGAATAGCTTGCGGGGGCTTGGCTCGGAGATCATTGAGTTTTTACTACAAATTGCCTTTTAATTTTTTTCCACCTGTATCTGGACTGGGATTCGGTAAGTTTCCCTTTTGTTTACATATGAGGTTCCGAGACAACAGTTGCATGCTGTTCTTGAACAAACATTGCTTGATGTTATCCAATGCCGAGATTAAGGTCAGATAATACTAGCGTCCGATTGTGCTTATTGCCATTAATTAGAAACTGCAATACCGTCACATAATTAAACTGAGATTTTTCAGATTAGAGAACAGAAGGAATCTTCTTTCAAAATTTGCTTTCGAGAAGGTTTGGTGTTTTTGCTACTCCTACTTTCGGACCTGACTTGATTCCTGACCGGTAGAAACAGCATTAGTCCAAAAGCAGGGAAGCTTTTATTTTCTTTAATCACATGATCTGATATTCTCATTTATGCCCAACACAAATTCATAAAAGTGGCTCTAATGATTGGCTGACAACAGTTGTTAATGAGCAGTGTTTGCGTCCCTTATTTTTCAGTTTACTAAGTATTTTGAACTGTCAATTCCAATCCAAAGTCGATAATAATGAACTCTTGGTGATGGTTTTGAGCTACTTATCTTTGTGTGTTGATTAATTGTAGTTAACATGGCACGTCAGGCAGATCGTCTTGTTAAGATTGGGCAGGAGGGTTTTGCAGCCTTTGAAGAGCAATTCGGGCGGGCCAAGAGGCGGCCACCAGTTATGCCAGTTATGAAGGTTCCCACATATTACTATGTTCCTGCAACAGAAGTTATCGACAGCAAAGAGGCAGCTCAACGCTACAAGGGGAGGGTTTATATCGATTACCCTAAGGGGAAACCATTTCCGTTTTAAAGACCTAGTGATTAATCACTTAGCTTTCTTCTATGCATAACCTCCTCCAGTTGTGTTACCTTTAGGAGCTTCTTCTTACTTCTTCAAATAAACTTTCTGTGATTTATATATCATTTTCTATTTGTATGTATTCTCATAATTAGCTTTCTTAGTTCCTCATTGTCACCTCTTACTTAGCATGGAATTGAAAGATACACAAGTAATATGCTCTTGAAATGCTTTGAAGCTCTTCAAGGTGTGATTTCACCGACTAAGTTTGGAACTGTACAGAGCTCAATGATGAGCCGTGGGAGGCGTCTCTGATTGTCGCACTGTAAGCATGAGTGTGCGTATGAATATAACCAGCAGATCCGCAAACCACAAGTGATGACAAGATTCTTAACACTACTACATTTAATAATTTTATTGATGAAATTTTTTATCGGTATTTACTCTATCATTTTGTCAGCATGAATTTTACCAATTGATTTAGAGACAGACACAGTCTTGAGTAAATTCCTCTTGTCAATAATTTCATTAATGTCGGTAAAAAAAATGATGGTTTTACATACAGAAAATGCAAGCCATTTTTTTTTCCATTGGAATATACAAACAAAATTATTTCTTTGATGATTAACAGTGGCATATGGAGTAATTTTATTCCAAACCCTCTATAAAATACCGAAGGAATTATTCCATCAATGATATAATAGTTGAAGTGGCATATGCAATAATGTTTTTCAACTCTCTGGGATGTAATGATGAACAAAGTTTGTCAGTAACTCTATTCATAATAATTAAAAAATATATATATTTTTTAAAAATTATTTATTGAACAAAAAAAGAAAATAATAAAAATAATTTATTGTATAAAATGCTTAAATTATTTATTGTATAAAATTCAAGTATGTAAAAATAAATTATCTTAACATAAAAGCCAAATATTCATTACAAATTTATATGTTCAAGTAAAATTCAACTAGAAAAATGATGGCGTTGGAGGACGTTGATCGTTCTTGGGACCATATAGCTAAAAGGGGGCGCACATGTACCACCCATATGTGATCTCATATCCATGGCTATTCTACGAAGTTCATCATAATCCATATAGAGTTGTTCATATTCTTCAATAAGATGGGTTGTATGTTGTTGCAAGGTCGTAAACTTCTGAGACTGGGTGGTCAATATCGATTGCGAGCTCCCAACAGTTAAGACATTACATGCCATCCATAAGTTCTCAGTCATGGTGTTGGAGAGTTTGTATACCTAATTTCTATCAGGTCCACCAAATGATCCTGCCTCCATCCATAAATCCGAATCGAAATCTAGGTAGGTCGAAGGATCGTTCCCGTATCTCTCCCTCAATCGGCTGTTATATGTCTCTTGGAAATAAAAAAATAAAATCATCAAATTTAATTCAAGTAAATAATAATTTACAAAAGAAAATGGTTGAATGAATATACCACAAAGTGTTGAAAGTGGTAGTTAATGAACTATTGCACCTCTTTTTAGCAGTCTTCACTCCACATGTGCGTCTCCATAAAAAGCTCCATTCAGCTTGGCTCATGTCCAAGAGTTGTAGTCTATAAGAAAAAATAAATTTATAAATAACAACAAATTAATTAAAGATAGATGTGATTAAAATTATTTTTTTGTTATTTTTTAAATTTTTTTGGCTTTGTTTGGAAAAAAACCTAATTATTTTGTATAAAACTATCAAAACAAGCATAAAGGGGGTCTTTGCCAAACACACCCTTAAACCAAAAAACCCTTTTAGCAAAAATATTGCAAGCTAAACATGTTCTTAACCCTTTGACCCATTCTTCGCCCAACTAGGTTGACCCGACCAAGTTGACCTAGACTGGGATGACCCAAAATATTTGGTTTCAACCATAAACCGAACCAAAAATCCTGATTTGACTCGAAAACAACTAAAAATGAAAAAGAAAGCCAAAAAATAGATTAAACACCAAAAAACACAAAACAATGGAAAAACTCGAAAATAACAAATCAAATGCAAAAATAAAAATAAAAATGAAGAACACAAATAACATGAAAAACATTAAAACTCAAATTCTAGCAACATGAATTCTAATCTAGACCATATTTCAGGAAATAAAAAAGCACGTAAATGATGGAAATCAATCATTGAACAATAATTAAGCATCAAGCATCGATGATTATCAACCAATAATCACGATTTAGTCAAAATAGGTTTTGGTTAAAAACCAAAACCCTATGATTAAAACCCCTAGAAAACTTGTTATTGGTATAAATAAACTCTAGACTACTAATTAATCAAGTCAAATGAAGTGTTTAATGTAAAGGAATGGAGCAAAACTGGTCCAAAACATAGAGATAAGCCAATGTTTTTCCCAAGAACATAGAACATTGCCTTAGAAAACCCAACTATTGTCAAGCCACCAAAACTAGCATTTTCGACCACTCAAACATGCTTTCTTCATTTCAAAAAGTCACATTACCATAACCAAACATGTTTGAATAAAAAAAAATAAACAAATAACATCAAAATCATGCAAGAAGTTCCAAACTTCAAAACTACAAACTTAAAATAGCTTATATATTTATGCAATTTGGATTCAATTTTTTCCCCTAAACCTGCAATATGATCCAACCAAAACCTAGAAACTAAGAACATGCATCAGCCAACATAAAAAAAACATCATAACCTTGCTGCCACATGTAGTAGATTTCAAAACTACTTTATTTAATCAAAAACTCATCCAATAAACATCACCTAAGTATTCAAGGACATTAACAAACAACTCAAAGTAAGATTTAAATAATAAAATAAAATTTTTATGTATTAATCAAAATCAAAACTAAAGAACATCATAACAGTAAAGCAAGTTCAAAAATATCATTAAACATGTAAAATAAGTTAGAGATATGCCTTATGGACATCACCTATAAGGTTAGTGAGGGATTATATCTTCCTAAAATTCAGAATAGTTATTGCCTTTCTTCCTTTTGAAAATCTAATCTTTTTTCAATCTTTAACTTATCATTTTAGCTTTTAGATGCCAAGTGTCACATATGGGTGCAAGATGTCGGGGGTTATGGGAGTAACTACCTAGTTTTTTGGTTTAAGGTCGCTAGGAAACTCAGGTATATTGGTTTTATCAGAGATTCCAAGAGTAAGAGACTGATTGTGGCTGGGTAAGGTACTAGCACTCCTAATGCAACCTACCTAAGGTAAACTATATTGTGTGGTTTAAAGGTTTTTATGAGATCCTAAATGGTGGTATGTCTATGATTTAAGATGGGGATTTATACGTGTTAATAAATCTGGTTTTTTTGAATTTATTATGGGCTCCTGTTCCCAAATGAATTCTTATAGCCAAGATCCATATAGGTGCCTTGACAGGGTTCACCTATCTTTAAAGGTAGAAGGGTTTTCCAGAACTCATGTATTGTGATGAAAAATACTCCCATTTAAAATTGGTGACTATTTAAAATAATTTTAAAAATTTTATCAGCAACTCGTGATATTTAAATACTAGCATACTTGTAAGTCCAACATTTATACCAAAAAATTGACAATTATCACTTATGAATTAAATTTTTTTATGGATTTTTTAAAAATTGACAAAGTTCTAAGAAATTCAATAAACTGGTTATTAAACCCAAAATTCATGTAAATATACTAAACAAAGTTGTATTTTTTGGCCATGTAATATTGAAGAAGAGTATCTATGTGGATTTGAAGAAGATAGAAACAGTATTCAAATGGGAAAGACCTATGAATGTGATTGAAATTCATAGTTTTTTGGGCTTAACTGGATATTATAGAAGATTTATAGAAGGATTTTCAACGACAGCCTCTCCAATTACTCAACTAACTCGGAAGGAAGTTAAGTTTGAATGGTTAAAGGAGTGTGAAACAAGTTTTCAAGAGTTAAAATCTAGGCTAACTTCAACCTAGTATTGGCTTAACCAAAAGGATAGGAGGGATTTGTTGTGTATAGCGCTGCTTCCAATAAGGGTTTAGGCTGTGTATTTAAGCAGCATGGAAGGGTAATTGCTTATGCATCTAGATAGTTGAAACCATATGAGATAAACTATCTGGTACATGACTTGGAACTGGCAGCTATTGTGTTTGCTTTAAGGATATGGAGACATTATCTCTACGGGGTACAAGTGTAGATTTTTACAAATCATAAAAGTTTAAAATATCATAAAAAGAATTGAATATGCGACATAGGAGATGGATGGAGCTAATCAAAGATTATAATTGTATTATTGATTATCACTCGGGGAAAACAAATGTGGTGGCAGATGTTTTGAGTTGGAAGAATAAAGCTTTTATTGGTGGTTTACTAGTCCTAGGTGAGCTAAATATGCATTTGGATGTGACTTTAGAAGGAATATTACTGGCAATGTTAGTGCTACAATCTTATATGAGAGAAAAGATCTGAAAAGCTCAAGGTGAAGATCCTGAAGTGATGAAAGAAATGAATAGTGTAAAAGTAGGCCAAGACTCTTTATTTCGAGTGCCAAAAGATGGGATCGTAGTTATGGGAAACAAAATATATTTACCTGATGATAAGATTTAAAAAAGTAAAGTTCAAAATAAGCTCATAGTCTAAATTAGTGATCCATCCAGGGAGCACAAGAATGTATAGAGATTTGAAGGAGAGTTACTGGTGGCCAAAAATGAAAAGGGAGATAGCATAATACGTGGCCAAGTGTGCCATATATTAGCAGGTGAATGTAAAGCATCAATGGCTGGCTGGAGAATTACAATCTCTTTTAATTCCATAATGGAAATGGGAGAATATCACTATGAATTTTGTATCTAATTTATCGAGAAATAGGAAAGGATTTGATGCCATATGGGTGATTATGGATAGATTGACAAAGTCTTCTTTGTTTTTGCCTATAAAGATGGGGGATTCGGTTGAATAACTAGCTCAATTATATATTAAAGAGGTGGTCAGATTGCATGGTGTACCAGTTTCTATAGTTTCTGATAGGGATCCTTTGTTTACATCAAGGTTATGACTAAGTATACAACGAGCTTTGGGTACTATATTGAATTTAAGAACGACTTTTCATCCAC